GGGACAGATCTTGCACCCCCTGTCCCTCGATGACAGAGCCCCAGTACCAGCTGGGCAGGGGATAGGGCACACAGCAAGCAGTTCCACCTCCAACCTGCAGGGGGCAATGGGATGCAGTAATGCACGCATACCAAGGCCCCCCGCACACTGAGCCACATACACACACAGACCCACACACCCCCCCCAACCCCTCCACAGCCAGCTGTGTGCACACACAGTTCTACACACACGGAGCTATGCACACTTACACACAGCCCCCCAGTCAGCTACACACAACTCTATACACACACACACACACACAGCTACTCACACATAATCACAGAGCTCAGCTATGCACATTCACACACAGCTATGCACATGTACACACAGCTGTGTACACACACACACACAGCTGTGTGCACACACAGAGAGCTTTGTGCACACACACAGCTCTACACTCGCATGCTACTGTCACATATACACTGGCAAGGTGTCCTGCAGTGGCTCAGGCGCATGAGTACCAATCTCAGGGCAGACTGTTAAGAAGCAGGGCACACGCCTCAAATTGGCTGTGATTTCTATACTTACATTTCACAAGCCAAGTATCCAGTGTGAACTCCTCAAGCACTCTATAGCCTGACCATGGAGTCACAGACAGTCCCCTTGGGTTCTTGAAGCTGTCTTGCCGCCCAGATGATTTTACCTCTGTGATAGATGGGCTCTGTGATTGATGGGCCCAAAGATCACAGCAATATTCAGGTTACTTCCAAAGGACCAGTCGCTTACCCTAGCATAGGCAGCGAGTTATATGGGCCCATGGTGCCCCTGCTCCACCAATATTCAGGAACATGGGCCTGGCTCCACCAATGTTTGGGCTTATATTTAATCAGAGGATGGACTGGGGCAACCACCCTGGGCCCTGTGCTTTGGGGGCCCCGCGCTTCAGGGGGACGCAGGGTCCTGGGCGGCCTGTTGGATTAGCGGGGGGCCTGGCGATAGCAGCAGCAAGCAACCTGGCCCCATCCCAACCCGCCCCTGCTCCGCCCCGCCCTGCCTCCACTCCACCCCTTTCCCTAAGCCCCTGCCCCGCCTCTTCCCACCCCTGCTCTGCCCCCTCCCCGCCCCCATTCCACCCCTTCCCCCAAACCCCATCCCGCCTCTTTCTGTCTTCTGCCCCCGAGCAACACCGGGAGCTGGCGGGGCGGGGCAGAGCGGGCTGGGACCGGGTCACTCTCTGCTGCCGGTGCCAGGCCTCCCGCTAACTCCCCAGGCCGCCCTGGACCCCACGTCCCCCTGAAGCGCGGGGCCCCCCAAAGCACGGGGCCCGGAGCGCTTGCCCCGGTCCGTCCTATGGACGGGACGGCTCTGCTTCCACCCGTTCTGGGCACCACCAAAAATTACACAAACCTGGCGCCCATGTACCCCAGGTCAATTGCACCTTATAGCTCACACCAAAAACAATGCTTGTAGCCAGTCCTGTTATAAACTAAAGATGTATTTTATAGGAAAAGGAAATCAGAGTTATTGACAAGGTTAAAGCAGGTACACAAATGAGTTTCAGTCTTAAGTTTCAAAACGTAATAGACGCTTCTATGACAAGCAAGCTCTGGGTGTCCTTCAGGGCTAACCCATGCTAAGCACTGGGGATCTTTTACTTGTGCTTAGTGACCCTTGCCCTTCAAGCAGTGTCTACACAGCAGTTAGGCACCTGGGGCTGGCCCATGCCAGCAGACTTGGACTGTGGGGCTGTTTCATTGCTGTGTAGACTTCCTGGCTCAGGCGGGAGCCCGAGCTCTGGGACCTTCTCACCTCACAGAGTCCAAGAACCCGGACTCCAGTCTGAGCCCAGAAGTCTACACAGCAATGAAACAGCCCCGCAGCCTAAGCCCAAGTCAGCTGGCACGGGCCAGCCATGAGTGTGTAGTTGTCGTGTACAAACACTCCCTGACTTACGCAAGTGTTCCGTTCCGGAATGCCTTGCGTATGTCGGGTTTGCGTAACTCGGAGAGCGTCTGTACACATACTCTCAGAGTCCAAGCAGACTTGTAAAGGTTTTTATTCCTTCCCTCCTGCTTTGAGCTGCAAATTCAGTTGATGGAAGGAATTCGCTTGCCATCTCCTCTTTGCGAGGTGGGGGAGCAAACAACAAAGTCTTTTGTCCTCTGATATTCCACAATAGTTCCTCTGGTGTTGATGGGCCTTCTTGTTGGGCAGGGGATAACACCTCCTGTTGGGAACTAGTATTTCAAACTGGTTAATGCTTCTCTCCTGTCTGGAGATTTATAGTTACAGAACAAACGCTTAAATATAATCTTATAGCGTGGGATACCGCTGTTATAAATGCGATTCATGCACGCGGCAGCTCACAAGCATTTCACAAAGTCTAAGCACTAAACACATTCTTATAACTCTGATACCTATTTTAACAACACTAACACACAGAGGAGCCAGACTGGTTCCAGGGACGGGTTTGTCGGCTTTCAGTCAAGACCTAGGGGCCTTGGCGCGAGCGGACACCTGGTCTGCCAGCGTCACACACAGACGTAGAGCTATGCACACACATACAGAGCTTGGCAGGCCAGCGGCCAGCGTGCTGATCCCTGGAATGGTGATGAGAGATCTCACCCACGCAGCTAAATTTGTTGCATGTGAAGCAACACCCCTCCTCCCCTTCACCACCCCCCGTTACACAACAGCCCTCTGGCTGCTGTCCAGCCACGGCAGGAGTGCACCAAGGGCATGGCTAGGCCCTACGACCAGTGGGCCCATGCTGGAGCTGGTGTGGAGTGGGGTGCAAGGCTCTGCCCCTTCAGGGAGCTGTAATGACACATCAAAAGGACCTTGGTTTTGCCTCGTCTCATATCCCCATATGTCATTGCACTAAAGCCGGCAGTGACTGAGGGGAGAGCTCCCTGTGGCGCTGGATTGTCCCTCCGCACTGTGACCCAACTAGGCCCTGCTGCGCTAATGAGCCGTGCAGCCCAGGAGGTAATGAGGATGCATCTGCCCCCTGCTGCACACAGGTGCTGCCCTGGGGAATTCCTCCAGCTGGGGCAGCACTAGGCTGGCCGCTCGCATGGGGCAGGCTGCAAGGGGGGCAGGGGCCAGGATGGTGCGGCAGGGCCCCCACTATAGAGCTGCCCTGGACCAGCTGGAGCTCCGTCAGCTTCCCTGGGGAGCCAGTACTTGGGGCCATGGACCCAGGCAGCCTAGCGGGCTGGAGTAAGGCAGCTGGGGCACAGATTGCAACCACAGGTGGGATCTGCGGGGGCCTTATGGGGTTAGCAGTATGACCGTGCTGTAGGCCACTGTGGGCGACTCCATGTGGGAGGGACCCTGCCGCTCCCCGAGGAGCTGGAAGCAGTGGGGGAGAGGGGTCACTGCTGTCCCTGCCGGCAACTGGAAACCGGTCTAGAGACGTCCCCCGCCCAGGGTGGCTGGCATAGGCTGGCTCAGCCAGGGACCAGAGGCCTAGAGACAAAGAAAAGGCATCTGCTGTGAAAGGCTGAGTTCAGCCTGAGCGAGGGGCCATCAGACGGACCTGACCTTTGGGCCAAGGGGGGAGCTGCACTTCTGGATCCCTGCCAGAGCCCCGGGCAGGCGGTGGGAAGTTCTGCTCCGAGCAGGGTCTGGGGAGAACTGTCTGTTCTCTGGGAGGCGTTTCTCAGACGTCTGTATTCTGCTGGCTGCTCCCCAGGCACCACTGCCGTTGCTGGGCGAGTGGCAAACAGGTGCAGCCTAAACCCCTGCTCTGGAGGGAGTGGGACGTGGGACCCTGCCCAGAGAGAGCCCTGAGACCGGAGGGGCTTTTCTGGAGCAGACCATGGAAGGGCAGTCAAAGGTGCAGTTACCCAGAAATTGTGTTGGAAGTCCCGAGTTGGCAGGGTCTGTGCTGTGCCCTGCCCTTTTGACACGCTTCTGGCTGACAGCCTGTTTTTCTGCTGATCACTAAGCTGTTTAGAGGCTCAATCCCAACAGGAAGCGACACCCCAGGGAGCGTGTGCAGCGCGGCCCATTCAAGACAAGCCGCATTTAATAGTCGCCTGGACTCAGCGTGGGAGAGTCATTATCATAGCCTGGGGAAGCTGCGCTGCAGACAGTCACTATGGGAAGGAGCATTTGCTCTCTGGCTCCTCACCTGCCCCCTGGCTCTACCTCCTTGGGATCCACCTTGGCTCTGTCTCTGTCCCTGTGTGTCCAAGTCCAAGCTCCTCACATCCTGGGTTTCTCTGGCACCTTATAAACAGCCACCGACACCTCCTGCCTCTTCCCCCAGTTGCTGTCCAGCTTCCCCGGCATTGGCTCCAGCTGTGTGTGCTGATTCCAGCCAGGCCTTGTGTCACAGATCCCCAGGATCAGTGCTACGCCATAGCTTCTAAACATCCCCAGGAGGAGCCACTTCAGCCTGCCAGACCCCCAGGGGGAGCCACAGAGCCTCACCATCTGGGTCTACACTCAAAAGTCAGGTCGACCCAGCTCCGTGGCTCAAGGGTGTGAGAAATCCACACCCCTGTGGGGCGCAGGTAAGCCGACCTAACCCCCAGTGCAGACAGCGCTAGGTCCACGGGAGAATTCGTCCATCCACCTAGCTACCACCTCTCGGGAGAGGGATTGCGCA